CGCTCGATTAAACCGGCCGAGAGTTTCCTGTGGATGAGCAGCGGCGAGCAGAGAGCTCGGCTATGATGCGGGGAGACGAGAGGATCGAGCGCGAGATTAGGGCGAAAGCAGACGTGCTTCGATTGTTGAGGGAGTCGAGCGGGGAGATCAGCTGGAGGGATTTCGATCGAGGGAGATGAGGAGGAATTTCGAGCGAGGGAGATCAGCAGCCGGCTTGGCCGAAAAGAATCCAACGGGATTTGTATCCCGCGCCTCTCTAATACCGTTACAGGTGCATGGAGCGGGCTATTGAATGCATTCCATACAGGGGCAGTTATATTAGGTAAAAAAAATAACTCCTAATCAAATCTAATTAAGATGGAATTAAGAGGTAAAATTTAAATTTTAAAAATTTGAAATTTGAAATAATCCTGGCTTGTGTTCAGCCTGCGTCGAGCTTGAATTGAACCCGGGCTGAACCCAAACCTGTGCCCCGCTAAAGAAATGTGCATCAATTTCCGTGCAGTTCGCGCGAGTGTGGAACCACAGCAATATGGGTGTCTTTTCTAGCTAAAATCGACGTTCCGGACGCGTCGGCGCAGTCCGTTTCGTCATCCGGGGTCGTCCGGACGAGTTTGCCGGCGGGCGAGTCAATTTAATCCAAAATTGTGCGTGATGCAACAAGTGCGTTGCTGAGTCACCGAGGGTTAACCTAAGGTCGTTTGATCCTATAGGAACTCATTTTCAGACCCTCTGCATGTTGGTCCTTAGCCCTTGCAACTAGAAGTTGAGTGCTTGGGACCATTCGTGCGAGTTTTCACAAAAAATGAGTAAAGAAGCGGTTTGAAGTTCTATGGGAGGTGGGCTCCATTACTAGTCCGCTAGGATTGTCAATAAGAACTCCTAAAGCTAGATCCTAGGTTCTAAGAGTAGGAGACTAAGACCTCACCAAAAATGAGGTCAACACACCCTAAGGGCTTCTCAAGTATGAATGTGCCAATGGAATTCCTTAAATTCTTTTAGCCGTGACAGATTCTCATTTTGGGAATCCGTCTATTATGTCTTGCAGTGTTGGATTTCATAATATGATTTCAACCCATAGCGTGTCGTTGCAGTTAGCGAATTAACTGAATCAAGCGAGTGTATTGCTCTTTAATATTTTATGATTTGAATTGAACTTAAGTTAAACATTTAACCAAATTAAGGTAGGTGAATTAATTTAATTTAAATTAACTAAATATGAACATTGATCTTAAGCTAAACCAAGTTAAGCAATTAAACCTTAATTCACGTAATTAAACTTTATTTAAATCAAAATATCACGTAACCAAACGTTATTATAAAATTCGAACATTAAGTAAATATGAACCAAATTCAATCATAAATTAATTAAACATTCATTTAAATTAAATTTCAAACTAAATTAAAATCAATTCAATTCATAAAATATCTGAGAACACTATATTCATTTTATCCAGTCAGCCTGCTGACTACATAAAATGCACCATGCGGTGAACAATGAGCTATAATCAAACGATTAAATCTAATATCGCTTGACAGACTGGTTGGATTCCCAAAATAGAAATCTGTCGTGATAAAAAATACTCAAAGGGATCGAATCGATACATTCATCATTGATAAGACTCTATGGTGCTAGTTATTTTAAAAAACGACCAATGCTATGACAAAACGGTAAGTACAATAGAATTACTCGAGATAGTCACAAGTTGAGCAGATTCCCGCAGCAGGGAGGAGTATGAGGAGGTTTCTCACATGTATTTAGTGTTCAAATCACAAACCAATGTACTACACGAGATAAAAAAAGTTTATATGATAATTCATTAAATGGAGTGCTAAGCAATAATATACATAGAAATATAATAAATGATGCATGCAATGATTATGTATACGATTTAATTTAATATATTATTTGTCAATATAATGAGAAATGTATAAAATGTCAAACATACACGGAATCTAAACTAATTAATTTACTTGATTGCTACTTATAAGCTTGTGAGTCCTGATTACATATATGAGAGGGAATGTTTAGTTCTCATAGAATTAAAAATTGGAATAACATCTAGGATAATTAAATAATAACTAAGAAGGATTGTATAAAACATATATATTTTTAGATTTTTTTTAAGAATTATATAAAACATATATAAGTGAGTATATCATGCGAAATAGTATGGGATTGTAAAACATTACAAATGTAAGACACATTATTAAAGTGAGCCTATAATTTCTAACAAAACATTTTTTTTTGTAACTAAAACATTGATGCTCAAAAGAGAGAACAAATTTAAAATCTTATAATGCTTATGCAAACTCATGTAATTCTTAAGGATATATACTATGTCAAATAAGTTGACATGTTAATTGAATATCATGTCCAAATGAGATGCAATCATATAAGACATAAATGCTATTAAGAAAAACAAGCTCATATGAAATTTGTCATCATTTATGTAAACATTTCATTTTTAATTATGTGATATTCAAGCACTTGACATATTCATATGAATATAAGTAATTTTGATTATAAATTTACTTGGAAGAGGAGTATATCTACGAGAGAAGATGTGAGCTATTTAGGTGTTCTTTGTGGCTATTTCGTGGAAAGATTTTAACAAGTTTAGGGAAGGTTTGGGCATCATTTGAGTAGGTTTTTCAGCATGCTAAGCAGATTTTGGATAGTTTTTCAAGCAGGTTTTGGGCTGTTTCGCAAACAAGTTTTGTGCAGGATTTTATGATGTTCAAGAGTTGTAAGCAGGTTTTATGCAGAATTTCAACATGCTTAAAAGATGGTTTTCAACAATTTTTTTGCAGAATTTCTGCATGCTTTAAATGGGTTCAAAGCTGTTTTAGAGCATGATTTGAACATAATACAAGTGGCATTGTAGACAGCATTAAATCAGGGTTTTAGGCAACATTTGGATTGGGGCTGCATTCACAAAGGATTTCAGCGAATTTTTCCCCCCATATCAACTAGCAAAATGTATGTATGCACCTGCCCAACCCAAGAAACTTCTCAACTCAACATAAAAGTTGTGTAAAAAAGTTTAAATTTATGTTAATGTTAAAAGAGAAGCATAATAATAAGTTAAGTGTTGCCGAGATGAGAATGATTAGGTGGATGAGTGGCTTTACGCTTAGAGACAAAATGCGAAATGAATATATCCGTGATAGGGTTTGGTGTAGCTTCTGTGACGAACAAAATTAGAGAAAGTTGTTTTAGATGGTTTGGTCACATTAAACATCGACCATCTGATGATTCGATTAGGAGAGTAGATATTTTAGATTAAATTTGTGTTAAGAAAGGCAGAGGTAGACCTAGGAAGACTTGGGCTTATTGTATAAAAAATGATCTTAATTTACTAGAACTAAATGAAAATATGACACTAAACAGGATGCAATGGAGAAAAAGGATTCATGTAGCCGACCCCACATAGTGGGACTAAGGCTTTGTCGTTGTTGTTAAAAATTCCATTTTCAAGAAACGACAAAACTTCGTGAAATCCTATTGGAAAGCTAAATGACCAAGCATCAATGCGCTGCAATTCAAAAGAGCTATTCAAAAATTTAATCGGTGGAGATAAAATTTTAAGAGAAACTAAAGGGAGAATATACCTCACAAGGTGTGAAGGTGCTTTTAGTCATGCTTCTCTAAGTTGGACGTGTGGATGAGAGTAGCTTTGGCCTAGTTGCTGGGCAAACTGAGAAGCAAGGGAGGAAGAGGTGGGTGCGTTCGACTTGCCTGTGCAAAGGAGACAAGGGAGCATCTCTTGCGTGAGGATCTTGGATGGCATATTTAGCGGATGGTTGAACCGAGGACTACCCTAGAGGTTTGGGTGTTCACGCGAAGAGATGGGAGGGACTCACTACTCCATCAAAGGAGGAGTGTCTTAACTCGAGCTTTCGCTTCTTGAGTCTCTCTTGTGTGAACCGAGAGGAGGAAGAGTAATGGATGGGCATTGTTTCATGAACAGGAGATGGAGGAAGGCCCTTTCGCTAGGTTTGTAAAGGAAAGAGAAGAAGCTCATGTAGCATTTAACAGAAGAAGATGGAGGAAGCTCTTGTAACATTTCAAGATAAGTGATGTGGTGAAGCCCTCCTTTCGGCTAGGAATATTGGTAGAGCCAAAAAATTGAGAAATTAGGGCTTGATGAAGACTATTTTTGGCTCTAACCTCTCCTCCCCTTGATCAAAATCAAGGGTTTAGATTCGCGGAGGGGTTTAAGTCTTGGATTTACTTTTTCTTAAAGAGTTTTTTCCTTGAAAATAAATTTAAATTTTGTTTATTTTTTATTTTGGTTTAAATTTGTATTTTGTTTTATTTTATGTTTTATTTTAGTTTGATATTATACTTAAGTTTAATGTTATATTTATGTTAAATTGATTAGATTAAAATTTATGTTTAGATTTAGGGTTTGTATTTTAATTAAATTTAGTTTTAGCGGCATTTACATACATACTGCCCAATCATAAATGATATATATGTAAATCTTCCTCAATTTTATATGTTGTTTATTTTAATTTTAATTTATGTTTTAGTTATATTTTAATTAAGTTTATGTTTGTTTTGTTTTGAATGTAGGTTTAATTTAATTTTTTATTTGATTTGCTTTAGATTCAATTTTGATGAAGTAATGTTATATTTTAAGTGTAAATTTAATTTAATTTAGATATCAGTTTAGTTTAATTTGAGTTTGTTTTATAAGATGAGTTATAATATTGTTTAGGTTTTAGATTAAGTTAAATATCAAGTTTGATTTCAAATTTAGTTAATATGAGTTTTATGTTATATTTTGGTTATTTTAAGTTTAAATTTAGCTTGAGTCTAATTTGTGTCCATTTTCTATGTTAAGTTAGATTTAATTTAAATTTAAGTTTCAAATGAGGTTTATTTAATTAGATTTAATTTTGAATGTTATCTGCTTGGTAATAGTGTTGGAATAATATTGCATTGATATATTTAGCTATATTCTGTTATACAATAACCTTATTTTAATCAGATCATTTGTGGAAGAGACTCATCGAAAACCCGAAGCAATGGTGGGACAATAGATCATCAAAGGTAACCACATCACTGTATTGACGGATCAATGAATTTTCCGGTTTGTGCCCCAAACAATAAGTGATATTGGGTGTTGTTTTGAAGAGTTTTGTGTGTAATATGGCAGCTAAAACCAACCTATCCTGATTTCAAACACAAAGATGATGGTGATGCTTTGTGGCTAAACTCAGCGCCATCATGGGTTTTGTCAATGTTGCCTCCGCAACCAGCACCAAAGAACGCCAATAATCAGTAGGCTCCTCATTCTATATTATACAAAGTATATTTAATTGAATGAATATGTTATTTATGTGGGAAATGCATTTCACATTGAGTATATTTAGGAAGCATTCACTTTGTTTTGGTGAACAGTGCATAAGCTTGAGAATTTGTAATGTCAGCTGCATGGTTGGCATAGTGCAGGTTATTAATATTTGTTTTTTGAACTTTGAAAATATTTGGTATATTAATTGTAGTAATTTTGAAATTAGTCGGCTTGTTTTTTGAACTTTGAAAAAACTTGGTATATTAATTGTAGTAATTTTGAAATTAGTCGGCTTTGATGTGAAAATTTTGTGATGTGCTAGAGGTGTTTATTTATTGGTGGGATGAGTTTAATAGGGATAATTTGAGGAAGAATAAACACCTGAATGTCATAAAGTTGCACGAAAATCTAACACGCAAATAGTTATAGAAAAGGAGCACAAGGAGACACCAAATTTATGTTGAAAAACTCTTGAAAGTGAAAAGTACGCAGCTAGTGTGCTCGCAAGATCACACTAAAAATTATTATTCTAGTAAAAATGTGGCAAAATCTTTTCATATAATGTGATCATGCATAAAACATGCTCTTGATTTATGGTAATGTGACACAATATGATAAGATTTTTGGGCCATATGACATGCTGATCAATAAAGAAATCCAGGCCTCATCAAGCAAGTGTGTACTCAAATTCTGGAATGATTGCTGGATTAATATATGTGCCATATTTGCTCCCAATATCTGAAGCTAATTAATAAAGTCTGGAATGAAAATTTTATTAATTGTATGGAATTAACAGAAGCAAAACAAGTGAATTTGAAAGTTTGGTGGCCAAACGTTTACATTCCAAAGAGGCAGCCATCTCCTACTTGCTTTATTACATTATTATAAGGTTTCTAATGATTGAATTCGTTAATTTGCTAATCAATCTGCACAAGACTTGGTTCAAATTATTTACCATGAAACGATATTCATTTTTTACATAAAATTAAAAATAAGAAAGTTAACAGTAAAAAACATGAAAAGCTCAGATAGAATATATCGATTATTTTACTCCCAAATGAATATTTAATCATCTCCCTTTTAGTTTAGGTGGAGTTATTAGAACAAGATTATCCTTTGTAGCAACATTCTATTCTGTTAAAGGGAG